TAGCTCAATCTCTCTCCGCCTGGCATTGGTCTGAAGCTCAGCCAATGTACGGTATGACGAGTTCGCCACGAACTACCGTATATCCCTCCTCAGTATGCTCAGATATCGGCTCACACGTGCCTGCTCAGTGGACACGTGCTCAGGGCAAAACAACGCCCTCTCATGGAACATCCTCGTGATCTCGGTCATAGTTTTTGTCTTCTTCTTGAGAGACAGAAACTCTTGGGCTAACCGTTCCCTCTCCACCTGGGGAACATAATCATCTCGAAACAACCATGTAAACCTCTCCCATGTCACTGCAGCATGATCTGCAGGAGTAAAGCTGGCAGTCACGAACTTCCATCAGTTCTTCGCTCCCAAGCGAAGCTGGTTCAGTGCGAACCGAACCCTCAGGTGCTCTGGGCATAAACACGTATAGAAACACCCCTCAATGTCAGAGATCCATCTCATAGCTGCAATCGAATCTTGAGTCCCATCAAAATCTGGTGACTTCGTGTTGCTGAACTCCCGTAGCAACAACGAGTCACCTCCCTGTGGCCTAGCAGCAGCTACGGCTGCGGTGGCTGCAGCAGCAACAGCCTCAATAACAGCAGCATAACGCTCATCAAATGTCTCAATCAACGTGGTCTTAATAGACCCAAACATCTCCGATATAGCCTCTCTGATAGCTGCGACCACCTCCTCATGAATGATTCTGCGGATCTCCTCGTCACTGGTCCCACTGCTCCCAGGGTTGTAGTGTGTACCCACCATAATGTCTCTGAAACATAACACGAAAAAAAATCATCAGAGACTCGCTCGAGCATACTCACACTCAATTTCCCGTACGTACATGCTCCTTAGTATCTTAAGGATTCTTACTTGGGTCGCATAAAAATCTGGTGCTTTCAGTAACAGGTCAAAAGCACTAGATGATTGCTTGAGTCAACACAAGAAAAGACGATTAGGGAATAAGAAGCATGATTACACACACTCTCAAACATCAAAAATGAAAGTGTTACATGATATCAAGTATCGATTAAAGAAGTTTACTAGATGGAAAGATGCATGGCTCTTCAAAACAAGGTTTAAGCATCATCGTGGAAGGATTAAACACACAATAGTTGATTTACACAAGGCCAAAAAAGGCTTGCCACATGATCCGGTTCCTCAAAGTAAGGTGAACGACCTCATGACAAAATTTCAAGGAAGTCAACTAACATATGATCCTCCATAGACATCGGTCGAGGTAACCTGTCCTGCTAATGACATTAAACTTGGCAATTTTGGAACTTTGTGGGTGTATTCACTGCAAACTCTCACGAGACTTCACTCGTCCACTAGGGGTAACATAGGGGTTTAAAAGGCTTGTTGCACGTGCCAAGTGCAATCGTGGACCAAAATTTAGGGGGTAGTTAGTTTAGTTTATTTTATATTTGATTTGATTTGTGTGCTTGTAGTTTTTTTTATCTCTTATTATTTTAGGAATTTATCTTTTGATGCATCGAGGACGATGCAAGACTTAAAGTTGGGGAGGGGTGTACATAAGAAAAAGATGGAGAATTGAAGAAAAAGTGATTTAAAAAAAACCATAATTATTCGATGTTTATTCGGGCATAACGAAACATTATGCAAATACCTCCAAATAGTGAAGTTTGTTGGATATCAAAACCGCCTCTACTATCAGTACCATCAGGTGTGTCATCCTCCATATTTTTAATTTCTTTTACATTAACTTTGATGAATTTTTTTGGATAATCAACTTAGGATGAATGTACTGCTATCTTAAACTCTATCTTTAATTATCTTATCCTGAAGTTGGTCACCATGAAATATATGATGATTTAGTAGCTTCTCTATATCTTGAATGTAACTCATAAAGATGGAAAATGATAGGAATTTCGTGCATCGATTCATAATATCTATTTAATATTGATTTGTGGGTTGCTCAGCTGGTTTGGAAAAATTATATATATATTTAAAAATTGTTATGTGAAATTCCCAAGTTTGAAAAATGAAGGTTTTTGGCTCGAGCCTACGATCTTTCAATTGAGGACCCAACCGAACAATATGTGTCATCATGCTCTAAGTACTTGGTCTTACTTACTCCTGTGCCTTTGGGGTTGGGAGGGGACTATTATTGTTTTCACACAACCAAAAAGCACTAGAAGACATTGAAGAACTTCCAAGTATATATATTCAAGCTCAAGTCAAATACAAAGATGATCAAATCCGATGAAGCCATCAAAGAACTTGGAGAATGCACAATCAAGATGAATATGAAGAAAAGTTCAAGTTGACGACATTGTGTGAAACAATATGTGACCCCTCGATAGCGGGAGTGTATGGGTTGGTCCATTAAGTATTACCGACCGTGCTAACTATGTTAGTGAACCTTGAAAACAAGACTTTGGCAATGAGTTCAACTGATTACTCATGAGGTTGATTATTGGAAAGGGTTTAAAAAGTGGAGGGTTTCAAACAACAAAGTAAAATAAGCATGACATGTATTTTGAGTTTTAAAGTCCGGATAAGCAACTAATAATCCCCAAAATCAATATATTGTGCTTATTGAAAATATTTTGATGAAATGTACGAAATTCGTGATTCCGTTGAGTTTTTATGAGGATTAGGGAGTAAGCCTACGCTGATTATTTCAGGACAACCTCAGGACGAGTTTGGAATAAAGTTGGGGAGGTTTGATCGGTCTATATTTATAGCACAATAAATTGTACTAAATATGTTGAATTGATGTATAATTGTCCAATAACGACACTACTTTGATGAAATGTTGAAAATTATGTGCAAGCAACTACTTAGTGCTAAAGTGGGCGGAACCTGCAAGGAAAACGAGTAAAAGGAAGTTAACAAGCATGGGAGACGAATTACTAAAGGAATGAAGAAAACTGGTGCTGATAAATTTGACCACTCTTTAATGTTTTGATCATATCTCAAGATCTTGAGCTCCGATTGACATGAATGAAGAAGTTCTGGAAACTAGACAACATTTCCTACAACTTTCATGTTTTGCGTTTCTGCTGATTCTGCAATTTTCATCACCAGAAGAAGCACTGAAGATGAAGGACGCCAGTGGGACGTCTAAGACGCCTACTAGGACGCCGATGCGGAAAAAGACCCGGAAATCAGTTTTTCAACACCTATTTAAAGGAGATTTAACCCTAATCGACTTTGGACTTCTCCCCTGCGATTTTCCTCAGTTTTGGAGGGTTCCAAACACATTCAAAGCTTCTCCAAACACGTTTTTGATCATCAATTTCCGAATCTGAGACTACGAATCACCAAATTCATCATCATTTAACGATTGGAGATCGTTCAACCGGTGGATCTTCATCAATTTCACCAAGTTTCAGATTTGATTACTTCATTCCCAAGGTTTCATCATTGCATAGTTGATTGATCATTAAACTTCATTGGTTTTATGATTTCAAGTCGGTTTGTGAATTTTAGTATAAATTTCATTGTTTTTATTGAAGTTGTGTGTTTTGTTAATCGTATGGAAGGCTAAACCACCTAGGTTACTTCTGGGAACGTTGTAAGATGTTAGGATGAACACGTTTTGATTATTACTTTTATTCTAGTCAATTTCAGTTATTGTTTCATTCTTAAAGTTATGATTTTTACTTACAATAATTGAAGTTGAGTTTTCTTATTGTGTGATATTGCAACTAAGATAGTGTATTGTTAATTCACTAATCATTCTGAATTCAAGTAGTTTAGGAATTAAGATGATCAGTTGAACCAACATACATTATTCCGAATTTGTAGTATTATACACTCAACATTGAAATAAATAATCGTAAGACACATTATCGCCAAACCACTAGTTGTTCCTAATCCAATTAGACATAGAGAGTAAGACAACTAGTTGGGATAACATACTGTGTGCCCAAAATTATTTTTTGCATGTTAATCAACCTTAGTTATGTCTAGGTAATTAAATTGAAATTTAAGGGAAGAAAAATGTGTAAGTCCAACCATCTGAACAACTGAACCGGAAGTACCTTGTTTTCTCATTCATAGTATTTGTTTTAACAACCTTTTGCAACATAAAGTTTCTAGTTGTTTAGTTTATTTTAGTTTAATTTGAATTCGTGACAATTGCTAGTAGTTTTTCGGTGACTATTTTAACACAAAGTTTGACCACAAACTCCTCGTGGATTCGACCCTTACTTACCCTAGCTATCTAGTGTGTGTGAGGTTTATTTTTGACCAAGACAACGACCTCGATTAGTACTCCTATGCATGCTTGAGGCGGGGAGTCACCCTGGTACGCTGGGCGTACATAAGTCTTTTCCCTACCCATCTTCTAATGCTTCTTTTCCTTGTACATATAACATTAGGACTTGTACAACTTCTTTTCCTTGTAAATACAACATTAGGAATTGTCCATGTCTCTTCAAAGATGAAAAAAAGAGTAAACATGGTTTGTTTTGAAAGATAAGAAATATAATGATATGACATTGAAGTGACATAAAAATAGTGAAAAGGAAATATGGATATAACGGATGAGCTAAGTGTCAATATCATTAGCTCTTCGGCTAGACAGAGTGGGCTTGGTAAGAGCTCGACACATCCAATATGTACTCGACGGACAAACAATGTGCCACGAACTCGGCATGCCAAGCTCGAAAAGAAGCTCGACAGTGGCAGACCGAGCTCTTTTTCTCTTCCTACCTTCTTCCCTCTTTTCTTCCTTTACTTGTTATGGCTTAGGTGGAACTCGACAGGAGCAACACGCCTCCCCGGCCTTACATGAAATTAATCCTTATTGTAACTAGATAACATATTTTTGTCATTATTATTATTATTATTATTATTATTATTATTATTATTATTATTCCGGTTAGATTTTGGATTTTTGATAAGGTTGATTGGTAAGGGATCTAATCCGGGTTGGACCCGATAAACAACCTTGTCTATGTACGAAGAATTCAGGTCCAAGGCCCAACAGACATCGCTAACACGCAAACTGGCTAATTGTTTGGGCTTCAACACTACAAGGCAACAGTTGTCTTACTCTTACTCCTTAGACAGACCGATGAAACGAATTTCACCATGATTTCGATTCGTTGGTAGCATGACGTCGGTCGAGAATTTCCGTTGTAATCGTAAAAATTAAAATCGATAGTCTTCGAAATATTCAGTGATTATGAACAAGAAAGGTCTAGCGATTTTGTTGCGTTCTAAAATGAGGCCTCTCTCTCCTGCTTCTGTAAGTAGTTATCGTCTGTTTGACTCAATTTCTTCGATTATTTGCTCTGGACTTGATTATCGATGGAAATTAAAGTTATCAACCTCTAATTTTGTATATTGTAGTATAATATTTCTCAATTTTCGAAAGTTACATATGAATTTTTATTGCTAGGTGTGTATCTAGTTATGGAATGGATGGTTAATTTTTTTATGAATACCTTCATTCTACATGCAAATTGAATTCGAACAAAATTTCAAACTTTACTTTAAGTTTGTTGATCATATCTGCTACACCTTCATGTCACCTGAAAATTGCATGTTTGATGTTTTTAGCTTCATTGTCCAAAAATAATTAGTATGGTGGATCAAAAGCAATTAAGTACTTTGAGCTAACCATTTTAATTGCCATGGGACAGTTGGAAGTTCAAATTGTTGCAATTTCATGGCATGAAGTACTGTTTATGAGATTGAATACTATCTTGAGTTGATATAAGCACTATAATTAGTAGTTGTAATTTTAGGAGTATGCAATAGCTATGTTTGTATTGTATGTACTGAATTGAAAAAACTCACATCTGTTTCAAATTTTAGGTTTTGAAGTCCAATGCCAAGTATTTTGGACTGTTATACTTGTAATCTTGTATTTCAATTTTGTAAATGGGTGTCTTCACTATTATAAGTTTATGTATATACATATATTTTGTTTCATGTATACTGTATCTAATCACTCATTTCATCCAAGATTGACTTGGAAGTTATGAAGTGATAATCATATTTCCTACCTGGTTTCTACAATACTATAATTGTGTAGATTTTTCAAAGTACAGTGCCCTTTTAGTTTCATTCAGGTTCACTTTTAGTATATATATAGACTGCAATATGTCTTTCTCCTCCTGATTTCTGATATGAATCTATCTTTTTTTTTTCTGGGTAGAAGAAAGTTAACCATGTGCAACTTGCTCCTTTAGATGTGAACAAAGTAGCTACTCAAAATGCCTCCAGCAAGACCCCGAGGTTTTTTTTATGGTTTTTTAATTCAACCAACAAAATAAAAATGCTTTTTACTCTTAATCAGGCAACTTTAATAATCTTATATAAATACTTTCAGAGATTTTGGGCAAGTACGGGAATCAATGCATTCAGTCATATCAATGAACAGAAAAGAGATACTGGATACTGCACTAAGTGAATTCTCAGAGGTAGAAAGTAAATGCTGTTTTTTTTTGCTTAACTCTTCTATAATTAAACGTAAGAAATAGCAACATGCTATCATTGATTCATGTTTTATAGCATCCTACTTTCATTTCTTCCTATTACAGCGTTATACTTTGAAAGTTTTACCATTTGTAGTAATATTGTCAAAATACAAAGCAATTTGACATTTTGACCATTAGAATTGGGTAGAGTTTTTAAAGTATAATGTCCTATTTAGGAAAAAAAAAAAATGAAAGTACATTTCTTATCGCATTTAGTCCTTTTCTTTTATGTTGAATTCAGTTATGATAATATGTATATGGTGATATAGGGTTATTTTAGTCTTTCTCAAGAAAACCGTCACAAGTTACTACTCATTCTTGCTCGAGAGTATGACCTCAATAGGGGTCAAGTTCGGGAGTTGATGAAGCAGTATATTGGTCTTGAGATCCCTAAAGGTGACCTTTCTTTTCTTAAAACTATGGATTCTGGTTCTATTTTTTTTTGAAAATATTTCTGGTATTATGTGGTTTGTCTTTAAAACGATATAGGGCTAAATTCAGGAAATAGAAACCCACTTCTCATATATATGTTTCTTACAGCATCATACTTCCATTTCTTTCTATTACAACATTGTACTTGTACTTTGAAAAATCTACCCAGTGAAAATTGCTTTGTATTTGGATGGCATTGCTATAATTGGATAGAATTTGCAAACTACAATGCTGTAGTAGGAATAAATGAAAGTAAGATTCTGTAATAAGCAAATAAATTGAAGTATGTTGCTATGTCTTGACTCTTGCATTTAAACCAATGATTAAGTATCAGGTGATGGAATTGATGAGCATGGACATGAAGTGGAAGGACATCTTTCTGCTTTTTATAGAATTGAAAGAAATTTAAGACATGCTCTTAACCCAATGTATGCGATTCTATTTGAAAGGCTCAACACACATCCTGGTGGTTTGAAATTTTTGTCCACTGTTCGAGCTGATATACTGTCTATTATCGCGTAAGGTTATGATGCCCAAAAACTACTGTTGTTTTACTATAAATTTATAAAAACTTGTCTCACATAGCTTTAAACCTTTAATGATCTTAATGCCTTTGCATGCATTTTTTATAGTATTATCTCTATATATCATCAAAGGATACATCAATATCCACCTGTGATTGTAAAAACAGAGTATTGAATCTAAACATAATCAAAATGTGCGCCGCCTATCATGGTAGTGTTACACATGTACAACTAGTTATCATAGGGTTTCTTAAATTCTTTTGACATGTTAATATTTTTAAAACTGTGATTATTTTACTTGTTTGAGTTTATTGTAGCATTGAATTTTGAAAAATTTACCCAATTATAGCTATGTCGTCCATACACAAAGCAATATTCATTGCTATAATTGGGTAGATATTTCAAAGTACAATAAGAAAACAAATTGAAAGTAGAATGTTTTACGTGTGTTGTTTTTCAAAGTACAATGTATTTATAAGAAAAAGCTTGAAAATACAATATTATCAGAAAGATTTGAAAGTAAAATGCTATTATACACAAATAAATGAAAGTATGTTGCTATTTCTTGTATTTAACCCTAGATATTATTATGTGGCTTCTCTCAGGAGTTCCTCTGCTAATAGTTCATGTTAACAGAGAAAGTGAGGGAAATGATGCTTTACACATTAAATCCAAACTTTTTTAAAATTTTATGTTTTCCTTCCATTTCCCCAAATATATTCTCAAGTATTTATTTAAAGTTTAAACACCATTTATCCATACAATACTTAATGAGAAAAAAAGAAACTGAGTTGGTTTGTTAAACATGTAGGGATGAAAATATTGCATCAATACGAGCTCTAGACTCGTATTTGAAAGAAAAGCTTATTACATGGCTAAGTCCAGCCAACCTTGAGCTTCACCAAATTACATGGGATGATCCTGCTTCATTGCTAGAGAAGATTGTAGCTTATGAGGTTTTCATTGCATCTTTTACCACCTTCCAATATATTTTTAATCATATTATATACTACTACTATTATGAGTTTATAAACAACATATTAATATTCACAGGCTGTGCATCCTATCAGCAATCTTATAGATTTAAAGAGGAGACTTGGAATAGGTCGACGCTGTTTTGGATACATTCATCCAGCTATACCTGGTCAGTCTTCCTGTGTGTTTAAGTTTCACTATGGAATATGGATGCTCTTTATTTCAGATTTATATAATACAGCCCCCTTTCTAGAATACCTTTGTTAGGAGCAGGGTTAAGGTCCTACAATAGCAAGATACTTTTTTTTTTTTTTTCATTTGTCATATAAATATAATAACAGTGTTTCTTTCTAGTCATTCTTAAACTTGTTGACCGATTCAATGGGTAAGTTTTGTTGACATGATGTCTATGTGGCATGCATCTGACACATCATCAAATGACACCATAGCATCTTCTTCACCCATATAAAGATCCAAGATCCTCACTTCAAATCATCTCCAGATGACGTGTCAAATACATGCCACATCAGCAAACCTGGTGAACAAGTTAATGAGTGTTCCTTTTTCTATTAACGTTCAAGTTGTTATAGTCTGTGAGTTAAAATAAAACATGTTTCCTCAGGTGAACCGCTTATATTTATTGAAGTTGCACTTATGAAGAATATAGCTTCTACCATACAAGTAACTCAACATATCCTTCATCATGTGACCATTTAATTTAACTTTTTTTATTTTTTTGGTAATAAATAACCAGAAATTGCTGGCATTACAGGAAGTCTTGTGGCATGATCCTCCTACACCTGAACCCGAAGCAAGTACTGCATTATTCTACTCTATTTCATCAACTCAGGTATACTCAATTGTTATTTCACATTTTTGTTTGTCCATTGTATAACTATATATAGATATAGATAAAGATTTCATTCAAATAGAATGAATACAGAATGATGGGTGTGAAAAATACGAATAACTTTTTGATATTGGCAGCCTGGCTTAGCAGGAATCAACTTAGGGAAGTTTTTGATAAAACGAGTGATTCATCTGGTGAAGAAAGACATGCCAAATATATCTGTAAGCCTTTCTAACTTGATTTTTAGCCTTCATTGCAAAACTAATGTTGGTTGTTAGTTAAAGAAATAGCAATGTACTTCCATTGATTTTTTTATTAAAGGATCCTACTATCAATTATTCATGATTCTTACCTCTTTTTCTGACTCCATTCATATGTTTTTTTTTTCTCTCAAGAATTTTGCAACCCTAAGCCCTATCCCAGGGTTCATGCAGTGGCTCCTGTCTAAGTTGGCATCATCTGAGAGATCTGTCCCCATTTTCAGTGAGAACATCCTCCAACCTCAGGAAGAAAGAGCACTCCTGGATGCATATGTGTAAGATGAATTTTTATTTGCACAACTTTGACCATGCTTTGACCGAACCAGGCTTTGATCTCTAGTTACAAATATGATGATCAATTGACATTTTGAGATATTTTTCAGGGATTCCACTGAAGGGAGAAATGGCATGGAAGTATTGTTGCACCTGTTGACCTCAACTAACCATGAGTGGACTCAATCTGATGGATTACAACCAATTCTACTAAGACTCTGTGCCAGGTATCTTTTATTTTTTGTCTTCACCTTTTATTTTTCTGATTGATTCAGAAAAGTTGACCTAACACGCATGCAATGAAAAAAAAAAAGTTTTTTTTTTTTTTTTTTTTTTGGATGGAATGATCAATGTAAAAGAATAAGCAAGGTAATGGAATGAGTCGTATGATTTTTTTTTATATGTAAATACAAGGTATAGTTTTGACACTATTCTATATTTTGTTTAATTATAGTTATATATAATTTAGTAATTGCAAAATGAAAAAATTAAACATTCTAGAAGCTTATGAAAACCCAAATAAGATTCTAATAGAAAATATTTTCTAGTTAACTTTAAAAAATACGATTATAATTTAATCAAACCAGCACATTCTACAAAACACACAACTTCTTTTCATTCTCATGGAATGAACAATTCAATTCCTTCTGTGATTCCATCATACAAAACACTACCTTATTTTTTTGTTCCATTGTGGAATGGAATGTGTAATTGCAATCTAACCCGGTTTTGTTCATGTAATCCTTTTTATATAAATTCAAAATTTTAATTAAATTACAACTTTAATTTCTGAAAATAACTAGGAAAAGATTTTTAGTTGTAATCTTATATGGGTTTTAATGAGCCTTTTATTATATATAATTTTTTTACTTCTATAAATATAAAAATTTGTTAATTTTTATTTAATAATATATAAAGTAGAGTTAAAACTATAAATTATAGAAAATTCATTTCATTTCTACAGGCCATCCAATGATCATGGAATGTAATAACTCATTCCATTTCTTTGCTTCCATTACCTTGTCTATTCTATTCCTTTGTGATTCCATTCCTACTCTCACTTTAGACTTTTTGACCCTGATAAATTACTTTATTGTCCTTGGTTTCATGCAACAGGTACCTTTTACATGAGAAGAAGAGAGGGAAAGCTCTAGATTCAGTTGCCAATTTCCACTTGCAAAATGGAGCCGTATGTCAAACCAGCAAAATCTTACTTCTTATTTCACTTTCTTGTTCTTTGATATGATAAACCATAAACCATAAACCATAAACCATTGAATATTGATAATATTATTCATTTACAGATGATTGGAAGACTTAATTGGATGGCTGATCGATCCGAAAAGGGCCTTACTCAAAGTGGAGGAATTATGGTAAATTACATCTACAGGTAATAATTAAAACAAATATTTATCTCATCTGGATTTTAAGGTTGTATATGGTTTTTCGTTTCAAAAACTGAAAATATAAAATCCGATTGTATTGAAAAATTTCTAAAAAAAAAAAGTGGAGCAACATAAATCGATTGTGAAAACATATTTGCAGTTTGGAACATATTGAAGATTATGCTCAGGCGTATTTCAGCACAGGCCATATCCAAGTTTCCCCTGATGTGCTTCATTATATTGAGGTAATATCAATTGGCTAAATGCAAGAAATAGCAATGTACTTTCACTTAATTTTCAATTATAGAATCCTATTTTCATTTTAGTCTATTACAGCATTGTACTTTTTTCTTGCAGGCAATGGAGAAAAATGAAGACTCATCATGCATGTAATTTAGTAAGTAATCAACTAAACATGTGTAAATTTAATTCTTATTTAATATGTTAATAAGGTGTGAAATGGTTTGCATTACATGAAATATATATATAAATAAACATGATCATATGCAACACGATATTATCCATAAAATTGGGCGACTTCATTTTTTCAGTTTCTACATGACTTGTTTCCAACACGTAATCCCTCATAAGTCTTGTGTTAGATTCATCTGCCATCTATAATATTAAGAACACCAAAATTAGTGAAGCATAAGATAATAAGAAGTAACTATTAAAAAACCCACAACATATAACAAAATTTTACCTTTTTAGCCAATCGTAACTATTAAAAAACCCACAACATATAACAAAAGTTTACCTTTTTAGCCAATCGTTCTAAATTGTCCCACTCAAAATCTTTCTTGCAGTATGCGGATCGAACCTAAGTAAGATATATTTGTTATTATTACATTAATAAACATTTTATTTTATGACATTAACTTAACAAAGGACAAAAACTATATGTACCTCCAATATTCTCATGGCTATAGAGGGAGTGGCGCAATGTGTGTATCCCACCAACAGAACCAATGGTAAAACGGTACAAAATAGTTTGTTAGATATCTAATGCAACGATTAGAATAGCATTTAGGTATTGTTTTCATTTGGACTTAATTAGATAAAAGCTATATACAAAGTGTTTTTTTAATGCAAAAAAAAAAAAAAAAAAGTTATAGTCCAACTTTTTTTCTTTTTAAAAATAAATAAATAAATTTGGGCTTATTTATTTTTTCCTTTCCCTAAAAGAAAGTGTATCATCCACACCATTTAATGGAAAAGTAAGAGAAAACAATGGCATAGTTTGAGTTTTGGAGGTAACCTGTGGCTGTTAGTTATACTAACTTTTCATAATGTTAGTTAATCTAGGAACAATCAAATAATGTTTTTCCTTAAATGCCCCTATCATCTATCTCGTCAGAATCAGAAATACCTAGGGTTTTATGTCTTGATGATTCACGCATCAACGCCGCACAGAACTTATCCCCATCGTTCAAAGAGTGTTTTTCCATAAATTCTGTTAGCTCCTTATGGGCCTCCGTGTTGTAGCTCTGTTCTGTCGAAATATATGTCAATCAAACCATACCAAACATTGTATTTATTTTGGATAACAACAACAGGGTACACTAAGTTTAACTTATATTTTTTGGCTAGGACAATATTTACATGCACTCGGGACAACTTTTGTAATTTTTTGTCCCCCATCCAAAATTATGTGGGTCAGAGATTAAAACTAAAAAAAAATGCAACTTTTTAACCCACACAAAACAAAACGGTATCTTTTATTTGTGCAAAAGTCTCATCGTTACAATCGAAAATAACACTACAAGGCTTGTCTAGTCTCATCCACTCGTGTCTTTTCCCATGAAACAAACGCTGCCTACAAAGTTCATTTTAAACTTTTGCTAAAATCCAATACTAAAACTCATTTTTTTTTAATTAAAAGAAAACTGTTTTACCAATAACTGGTACGTATTTTGAATTTTGATAAGCTTTCGTAGTTAACTCTAAGACCAAACAAATCAATAACAAAATTTGCTTCCTAAAGATTACTTGTTTGACCATATCAAAGTCAAACAAACATGCATGAAGTTTTTAAAGGAGTAACACACCTCAAGCTGTGCATTGACAACCCTCACGGCAACATATGTAAAAAGATTGTGGAGGTTCTTTGCTGCTTTGGCTTCTGGTGATGCTTCTCCAAATCCTATCAAAACTCAAAACCACCAGTCAATCATTTTACATAACTCACTGATTTGGACTCGACTCGTAGTAATGTTATAACAAAAAATTTTGCCCATCCAAAAAGATGGAACTATTGAAAATAGTCCCACAAAGCTGTGTAACAGTTGAAGGAAGCATTAGAGAGAGGACCTACCTGGAACGTACATCTTCTGACAATTTAATCGAGTCTTTTGAGATGTTGGGTTCCATTGATTCAAAGGAAAACTCCCAATGCTTGTTCCATGGGGTTTTTTGAGAGAGAAAGGAGAAGTGGGATAATGGCAGAATGGTTGAGGACTCCATGGTCAACAACAGAAACAAGAATGGTCAATGGTTTTAAAGATTTGAATGGGTGCTCAGTTTTATCAACATTCATTGGATATAAAAAGTTTCCTACAAAATATCTTTGTTTTGTCCCACTTTTCGCAGAAATATCTTCGGTGTCTCATTATTTCCTTGAAACAGACCCATTAAATCACGTCTGAAAATGGAAATTTTATGTTAAATTCATTGACTTGTTTTGTGCGATTAGTAACACATGAATATAAAATTTAAGAGAAATTAAATTACCTCCTACCTTTTATTCCTACAATTATTCATACCCACTAAAATTATGACAAATCACCGTTCAATTTAATTTTATTTGATATATTACTAATATAACATTAATGAGTTAGTTAAAAAAAATATGAAAGGATGACACTTGTCATAATTTTATTGGTTAGGAACATTTATAGACATAAAAAGTAAGAAATAATTTAATTTCTCAAAATTTAATAGGACAAAATACATTAACCACACCATGTGTTGTTATTTTTACAGTTTAAACATGTATATATTTTTTTCCATTAAAGCCATCCCATTTTGAAAGAAAAATTGACGCAACCACCATGATCTTTTATTTTTGGTTCAAAACAGTCTATCATTGATATGATGACATTTTTCCTCTAAAGTCATCAAACTTTTACATATATATTTTATTTGATCCGACCACTATAACAGTTTTATTTATTTATTATTTACTTTTTGTTAAAGACGGTATTTAAAAAAAAAATTTGTTAAAAACGTTGTTGTTGTTGTTTTTTTTTTTTTTTTTGTTTTTTTAGCGATGGACTCACCACAAAACAAATACAATCACATCGTTCATTTTCTCTAAATTTAAGATGAATTGTAGGTTGAAAATTCCTCAACTCCATAGCCTTATAAACAAACAAATGACAAACATCATGATGTCATCCGTAAATTCCTCAACTCCATAGCCTTATAAACAAGGTTCATAGTTTTTAAATTCTTTTTTTTTAAATGAAAAAATTTACTATGGTTTTTGGACGTTACAACTTGGACTAAGAATAGATTTTATTTTTGTATTTTCCTTGTTGCTTTAAATTATGTTTATAATTTATTGTATACCCAATTTAGAATTCCATAATTTTATAGAAAAACTCTGGTAAATCCTCAAAATATTTTGATGGAAAAGTCGGGTCGCCACAAAGAGTCCTTATATTTACTTGGTGAAATGATTGAACCAACATGGTTGTAGCATAATCGCTTGGCCCATGTAATTTTTTTTTGGCTCTAAAGCATATGTTTGATGCAAATATTATGGAAGGATTAACCATTTTTGATATCCCACCAACCTTTACGAAGGTTGTTTGAGTGCAAAAAAAGACACAAAATCCGTACCCGACACAAACAACTTTTAGAGCAAAACGAAGACTCGAGCTTGTGCATGCGGATGTTTGTGGTCATATCTCGCCACCCATACAAGCATGTAATAGATACTTCATGCTTCTAGTTTATGATTGTACAAGAGTTATGTGGGAATTTTTAATAAAAATGTAAGGATGAAGCTTTGCAAGTATTCAAGGAATTAAAACAAAATTCAAAGTTGAAACGGGTGAGAAGATCTTAAAACTTTTGTATAGATCGTGGAGGTGAGTTTCTCTCAAATGACTTTACCTCTTATTGCAAGGAAAATGGTATAAATAGAAACTACACAACACCTTACTATCCACTTCAGAATAAAGTCAGAAATGTGTAATCGAACGGTTGTGGAGATGGCAAGAAGAAGCTTGAAAAGCATAAAAGTACCTGATGTACTATGGGGCGAAGCGGTGAGTCATGCGATTTACATACTCAACCGAGAAACCACAAAGACTCTAAAAAATATTAAACCATATGAAGCATGGACTGGAAGAAAGCGTCAAATTGAACACTTAAGAGTGTTTGGATGCATCACATATATGTGAGTAACTGGAAGGCACTTGAGTAAACTGAAAGATCGTAGCAAAAATTTAGTTCACTTGCGAATTAAGAAAAGCACGAAGGTTTACAAGTTACTTGATCCTGATACAAGATCGAGTCAGAGTTAGTATATATGTGATTTTTCAAAGAGAACAGGAAATGAGAGTGGGGGCAGGCGACAAAGATCAAGGAAAACAACAAACAAAACCTTTACTTTCGATATATTAAAATTTGATGAAAACATCCATGTTGAAAGTGATGAAAATGGCGAAGACTCACATTAAGACAATAAGAATTGGGATGTTGGTGTACCTCAAAGCCCTCATAATGTTCCAACAAGTTTCGAGTCCTTCCATGCATTACAAGAAAATACAACTCAAGGAGCTACTAGCTCAACCTCGTCTACGAGTGAAGTTCCAACCAAGCTTCAAATCCCCTTGCATCATCCTGTTATTATATGTTGATGATATATTGGTAGCTAAGTCTGTCATGCATGAGATCAATAAGTTAAAAAAGGAGCTGTCTATAGAGATCAAGATGTAGGATTTAGGAGTTGCTAAGATTAGTAGAATGAACAAAGTCAGAAATAAGGCTGCGGGGACTCTAAAACTTTCCCATGAGAAGTATATTGGAAAAGTATTAGAGAAGTTTAACATGGGAGATATTAAGGCCAAAATCATACTTTCCTAAAAATGTAAATGACTAAAGATCTTCCCAACATCATCATTTCATTCACTATGAAATAAATGGTTTTCACGTACAGAATACAACTGAAAACATCACTACAAACAATCACCCACTCTCTAATATACAAAGAACATAAGGTTGAATCATAAGAACAAACTTACAATCTACAAACCTAATTTAGAACCCTAGTTACAGAACTTAGAGAGAAGATTGGATAAGAAGTGAATGACAACGAATTAGATAAAAAATATCTCTTCAATATCTTTATATACAATCGGGTAAACCCGAATCAAACAGAGCTCCATGGAGCAGCAGATGACCCGTGAACAAACCCGACACCTGAATAAATTACCATTGATATCCATATAAAATATATAAATTTACATAACACACCCTATATAAGAATTAATGTCAGTTTGAAATATTAAGAGAATATTTTCAACACCCCCCCCCAAACACACACATACACATACAAACTGAACATTAGTTCAAACATTTGTTTTTTTTTTTAAACATCGATTAAACCAAGTCTATCAGAAATATACTCATGTTGAGCAGGTCCAAGAGCTTTGGTTAAAACATAAACATTTTGATTTAAAGAATCAATCTTATTAACTTTTAAAACACGATTTTCAACCTTTTCTCTAACAAAATGAAGATCTATTTCGAAATGTTTAGATTTCTCATGAAAACAAGGTTTAATACCAATTTAATAGCAAATTCATTATTGTAACACCCATTTCCTGGTACGTATTAAATTTAAGTAATTTCATGTTTTGCTCTGGGACTCGGCGAGTTGGAGGCCCAACTCGTCGAGTAGACTCGATTTTGACCGGGAAGTTTAGTGACCTACTCGACGAGTCGGGGGACCGACTCGACGAGTAGAAGCTGTCTGGATGAAACCCTAATATTTAGGGTTTGCACCCTATTTAAAAAACTTATTCTGCCTCAACCCAGCCCCCATCGTCCCTACCAACTCAGAGAAACCCTAAATCGAAACCCTAACCTTGTTTGAGTGAATCTTGAGCCATTTTTGTGCATTGTTGGTGGTTGTGGAGCTTGAGAAGGAAGAAGGAGCTTGGGAGTTCAAGTTGAAGCTAGTAGATCCAGAGGTTGTGTTCCATTTCCAGCCCATTTGAGGTAAAAAGCTTCAACCATGACTTTCCATTTGTTAGATCCTCTTTAGGGCTTGAATCTTGTCATTTTTGGGGCATTTCTAAGTTACCTTCGGGTTTGGGTCATTATGTAGAGAAACAACTTCAGATCTGGAACCTAGGAGGGTTCTCATGGCATAAAGGTGCCAACTTTACTGCCATGAGAGCCCAATGCATCTTGAAGACTCCATTTTAGGGCCTTTTGAGCTAAATGGCCCATGCATGAACGTAAAGTTTGTAACTTTACGTGTATTATGGACCCTAGGAGGTCAGATCTATGGTTTAAATGCTTGAGACCCACTGAAATCGACTGTATAGTTTTGGACAAAGAGGGACTCGGCGAGTCGGGTCGTATTTCCCATCAAATCCTTCTGTTGATGGACCAGATGCTAAGTTAGAAGAACACTCAGTTTTCTAGGCTCTTTAGGGACCTGGAAATCATGGAACTCGGCGAGTGTATGAGCGGACTCGGCGAGTTCAAGGCAATGTCCCAACCACATGAATACGGACTCGACGAGTTCAAGGGGAACTCGGCGAGTCATAGACTGAACTCCTTCATACGGATAAAGATTAACTCGACGAGTTCAAGGATGAACTCGGCAAGTCAGTTGAAGAAGGTCCGATGCGTTGTTGAAGGCGAAATCGTCGAGCTATTGCTAGACTCGACGAGTAGGGACGAAGTTGTAGCTTGTCGTGGACAAGGGGACTCGACGAGTTGGTGAACCAACTCGGCGAGTCTAGTCAACCAGATGTTGACTTTGACCAGGTTTTTGACCTTGACTTTGACTTGGAATTTAGTGACCCTTGTAAGGGTTATAAGTATGATATTGTAATGTAGAAAGGATGCTGTGTAGGGATTGAGGAGTAGAGAAGAGTCGATTTTCACACCGAGGACAGTGCAGACACTACACGACATCGAGGTGAGTTACCTTCCAGTAGAGGTGGGTCTACGGCCACAATGCCAGCCCACCAGCAGGAGTTGTCTTTAGATGATTGTCTTTGTGATAATTGTCTAGGTTTGCTACTACCTGATGTGTCTAATGTGCCAGTATGATATGCTATATGCGATAGTGGTAGTAGGAGGGGAATAGTACCCCGATTCGGTTGTTAGGACCGAAGGGTAGGTCGGACACCCCAGATATGTCTGACGGCTTGATTATGATATGTTATTATGTGATAGTGGTAGGGGTGAAACAGTCCCCGTGGCCGGTTGAGATATACCGATGGGTAGGCAGGCACCCCAGAATGGCCTGACACAGG